TTTAGAGGAAATTACAAATAAGGGCCCAAAATTGAAAATATCGTATTTTATGGGCCAAATCACCCCCCATTATTAGTCATGCAGATATGGTATATATTATAGTCTATATGTAGTTTATTTGTATAACGCAATAGCCATTGAAAAAAAATTGGTAAAAAAAAAATTTTACAAAAAAAAATCAAATATTACAACAACCAAATGAATATCTAATTAAATCTGGGTCAAGTAAATCCCAGGCAACTGCCACCCACGAGGCAAGTTGTGAATATGATAGTTGCTTAATACGTCCTGAAGGTGTTAAATCATGAATGGTTTCTGACATCCAATGATTATAAAATACACGAATTTTGTCTTTAAAACTTTTGTTAATACTGACATCCAGTGGCTGTAATTTAAAAGTAAGTCCACCAAGAATCATGGCCATTTTTGTATTGTGAGTAAGTAAACGTTGCTTAACCAGATCCATCAAATGTGCACGAAAGGAGTCAAGTATTAAAAGAGATCTTGGATTATTAGGTGCTTTTTGAGACTAAATGTTCTCAATCCACCACAACATTTCAATTTCATTAGCCCAACCTTTTTCATTTGCCTGAACAATAACATTGTGGGAAAAGTTTTTTTGAGGTACAGTTTTTCTTTTAAATATACATACTGGTGGTAATTTTTTTCCGTCAGCTAGACACGTGAGAATAACAGTAAAATTTTTTTTTTCATTGCCAGAAGTTCGGATGCTGACGGTGTGAATTCCTCATTGTTCGATTGTTGATGGGTTTGGAGAATCAAATGTAAGGGAGTTTTGTCTATATTTCCTATTAAAAATAAAGGGTAATTGTATCGAATTCATAAATTAAAAACATAATTAAGGAAATTTTGTTTTTTTTCTTCTAAATCTTCTGGTAGTCTTTGTGCGACAGTTGTTCGATGGCGAATTGATAAGTTATAATGATTTAAAAAACCCGTCAAGCCAGATACTTGAAAACTTAAACGATTGAAGACCAGGTTGATTTTGGAAATTCATGGTTTGGGTAAGTGAAACCGCCTTTGCACTTATTATCTTCCGAGTAACAGAATTTAGTAGTTGACATTGATTTGTAATCCATTCAAATAAAATTTCTTCAATTTGCTGATAATGAGGTAAGTGATCATTATGTAACTTAAAAGTCTTTGGCGAAGCTTCAATTAATTTATCTTTTTTTTTTATCCAGTCACGTAATTGATTGGGTTGAATTCTAAAGTTTCTACATGTTGCTTTAATATTTAATCTGGGTTGATTTTGTTCATAGTAAGTAATGATTCTTAATTTTTCACGAGCATTCCATTTTCTTTTCAATTTTTTTGTTATGCATGCTTTTGAAATACTTTTATTACATTGGAAAGGCTTTTTTTTTTTTTTTTTTTTTTTGAAAAGAACATGTTTTACATTATATATATATCGGAAGTTATTGTTAGTAACAAAAATAGCAATAAACATTTTTTATTACAAAGTTCAAAGAATTATAAAGAGATCTGTTCGTTTTGTTTAATACAATTAAAAGACCCGTTTGTTTCACAAATCTTTTTCGTTACAATTACAAAAATATATAAAATTAAAAAACATGCTATCCCGCAAAAAAAAAAACAAATTCTGCTTTGATTAAAGCAATAATTGTTAATATTAACTTGCTTTTTATTAGAATAATGGCAATATTAATATTATGATAATGTTCATTGTTAATATTACGATATGATCAGCAATTTCATTGTTGATATGCCTGGCAATTAGTCTATACTGATCTGATATGCATCATAAAAATGTCTGCATATTCTGATAGAGGGGATGGTTTGGCCTATAAAATACAGATAATTACAAATAAGGGTCCAAAATGAAATAAGGTCCCAATATTTGAAAATTATTACAAATAAGGGTCCAAAATAATTTTGTATTTAAATACCCATGATCAAGCCCCTGTAGATCTATGACTCAAATATGACACAATATAGTCATTAATTATCAAGTGCATAAAAAATGTAATAATGATAAATTAGTAATTCAAATAATTTAAAAGTGTAATAAAAAATGTACATACTTCTTTTAGTCCATTTAATTCGCTAATATATCCTTTTTGCCTTATAAGTTTAGAACTAACAAACCAAATAAGCTACTCACTATTTGTCCTATGAATGAAGATAGTCCATGCCTTTTTACTGTTTTAGCTAACAAGTATAAAGATGGTTTTATTCATATTGTAAAGTTGATTCCTCATGATCAAGCTTGTCCAACTTTTACGGAATCATTCAAAACATATGAATTGTACCTTAAGAAGTTTACTGCGCCAATTGTTAGAGATATACCAGTACTTCGACCTTGAGATATTATAAATCATGTTCGTTCTGAAGTAGAAGCTGAGATATCATATATGGCTGTGTGGAGAAGCAAAGTCATTAATAAAAAACATAGTATAGAGGAAGTAAATAAGGGAAATCAACATATCAAGCTGCTACTTGACAATTTGCTTATGGAAAACCCTGGAAGTATTACTGCGTTTGAAGTTGATGTTGAAAACCGATTCACCTATGTATTTATATGTTTACAGCCATAGATTAATGCTACAGAATATTGTAGACCTGTGTTTACTTTCGACACTTGTCATTTATTGTAGAAAAGGTAATAAAAAGGGTCATAATTCGTGTATATGCAGTCGAAGACATAGAAATAGAAAATAGTATGTGTATGTTATTTAATGTTAAATAGTATTTATAATATATAATTATGCTTGCGTAGTAATATTATATTCAAAATTTGTGCTGTTAAAGCTATTAATCTTTTTTTTTAATGAATTCGATATAACGAAATTCTTAAACGTCTAATTAATCATGACGCTATTATGTTCAGACCAGCTTTTTCAGCTAACAATATATTTGGGCCCTTATTTGTAATAATTTTTAAATATCAGGCCCTTATCTGTAATTATTTTCATTTTGGGCCCTTATTTGTAATTATTTTCAATTTTGGGCCCTTATTTGTAATTTTCTTATAAAAATACCCTGTGATCTTGCTATAGTTAGCGATGTATTTTTGTTAGCATTAACAAAATCGGGATTTATTCAACCAAGTAGTCACTGGTGTCACCATCGGTTTTGGGAGAGCATCATGTGTAGATACCCAAGATTCTGGCAGGAATTACATATTCATGATAAATAAGCATTTAGGCAGGCAATTTTATTAATAGGACAATTTATAAAAATTCTCTTTATTCTAGAAGAAGGGTACAAAGGGCTTACATCTTCTCTATTCTAACATCGGAGGGATTAATGTTTATATATTTTTGCAAGTATCATTGAAGAAACATTGTATAACCTAGTGGTGCCTTTCTCAATGACACTGTTCTCTAACAACACTAACTGCTACTCGACTGCTAACTTGTCAGATTATAGTACGTAACAACGAAATTAAGCAATAAATGCTAAATCTAGTAATTAATACATAGTATTGATAATTATATTAGGAAATCTATAAATCCAGACTAACATTTCTAAAAAAGTACAAAGCCGATTTACATTAATGTTCCGAATTGATTGTAACACCGGGACTATCACATAACAATAACCATTTGAAGCACATTTTTGGTATTAGTATATGTTAAATGAATAATAATTTTTTTGTAAAAATATACGTATTTATGCAATTAGATAAGCTTTATATGCATATACATAAATATTTGCTATTTTTAAACTAAATCTAAGATTATTGTTACATAAATTATATAAGTTGTAAAAAAATACAGATATATGTAAAATATTTTAAGTTTCTATAATTATTAAAAAGATTATTGTTATTGTTTAATTTGGTTAATAAATGCTGCCCATTCTTCATTATGAAAATTTTCAATCCAGCTTATATTTAAATTGTCAACTATATCAAGTAATGTTCAATTATTATTTAATGTATTTAATAATTGTGCTAGATGTGGCCCAGCTATAGTGAAGGATTGAAGCCGTCTAATAGGAATATTTCCAAAAAATCCAGAGATATTTATAACTAGTTCGCCAGAATCATGTGTTTTTTTATTGTTATTTTTGATTAGATGGCTAATTTCAAAAGAAGTAGATTTTGCTGGATTAATATTTAGAAGTTGATGCACTGAGGTTTTGCCCGTAAGAATCGAATGAACTTGTACAGCAGACTTCATCCCTTTAGGCCGTTTAATAAATTTGGCTATCCACTGTTTTAAATAAATATATACTTCTTCAAATTTATATAAGAATCTTAATGACATTCGTTTTGATACTTCTGAATGATATGCGTTAATATCAACTTTGTTTAAAGACTGATAACACATAGTTAATAGAGTTGACAATATTGATAATTTTTGCTCTGATATTTCTGATGATGTTGTAGTATCATTTAAAATTTGTTCGATATGAAGACCAGTTAATAGATTCCTAGTTTCTTCTATTAGTGGTGCAACCTTTGGTTCTTGTGATAAATCTAATTTAAGAGCTCCTTCGATTAATGTTGTATCAAATTCTATCTGAATTGTTGTTTTACTTTGTCAACTTATTAATTCCAAAAAATTAATTAAATTTTTGTAGTACTCTGTTTTTTGAACCCCAGAATTGGGATCAAAAAACAGAGCAACTACGGAGAGACTATTTTCTAGTAAAAGGAATTCATGATATAAATTGGCTACTTTTAATTTATTACTTTCTAAAAGTCCATGTTTTTAAGATTCCTTGTATGTTGTATAAAATCCAAGAGGATCTATAGGATCATCATTATTATTATAGTTTAAATAAATGAAATTGGGCCATTTAATTTGACTAATCTTCTTTTTTATCACATTATGATTAGCCGGTTCAATAGTAATGTATTCACTATTATTTCTAAGCATTGCGATACCCTTTTTAGGTAGTATTTCAATTTTCTTAAAATTAGACTGGTACGAAATTGGCTTAGAGCCAAAATAGTATTGACAAGATTTTTATTAATTTCTTGTGCCATATGTTGAAATCTTGAAGACTTAGGTACTGTTAAAATCTGCACTGCAGAATTTTTTTTGTTAGTCGATTCATTTGTTAACTTAATAGATTCTAAATATAATTAAAAAATTATTATTATACGTATTGTTTTTAAGAATATTTAATAAAAAAAATAATAATAAAATTATTTATTATATATATACTGTTTCTTAACAACCTATGTTTTGTCATTTTTCTTTTTCTTTTTACTTCTACTTCACTAGCTTTTTCGATTTCATCTTCTGAGGTTTCATTTTCATCTTCATCTTCTTGAATTTCAAGGATTTCATTTTCATCTTCGTCTTCTTGAATTTCAAGGATTTCGTTATCATCTTCATCATTTGAAATTTCGTTAACCTCTTCGTCTACTTGCATTTCAATATCATCTTCATTAGAGTTACTATTATTAGATTCGTTTTCGTCTTCATTTAGATTTTCACTATTACTGTTTAGACTTTCATGATCTAATTTTTTATATAATAAAAATAAATTCACTTTATATTAATTTATAATAAGATTTAACCAGGGCTAAAATGACACATAGTAAATGCCGGCTATTTAATAAGTATTGTTTTTAATTCACATTATATTATAATTTTTTAATGCAATATATATATCGATAATGTATTAAGAAAAATACTTTAAAACATTAAGTAATGGCGCAGTAAATGGCCAGCATTTGCTATATGTCGTTTTAGCCCTGGATCTAACACGGGCATAGAAATATCAATTTTTAGTAATATATATTTACCTGAATTTTAAGTAACAGTATCATCTATTTGTTGAGATAAAATATTTTCAATTTCATCTTATTAACACCAAACAAATTTATATTAAATTAATAAATTTTATATAAATAGGTACTAAGTATATTATATATTATTCATTTTATATATTTATACCTTTGGATAACAAAACTTTAAGCTCCTCAAATTTTACTTTTTGTATATTATTTTGACTAGGATATTGGCTAACCTCAAGAATTTGATCTAGTTTATTAGATATCTCATTCTCAAGGTTAGTTTCATTTATTTCTATTGCTTGAAATATAAAATGTTTCTTTGTCCAATCTGAGAATATAATCGCAATTTCATCTTCCAAAAATGTAATTTGCAAAATATTTTGGTCCGTATTGCACAGAGACAGTAAGTAGATATAGTGCATAACTTTGTTGTTATGAATATATTCTAAAAAATATATATAAAATAAGTATATATATTTAATTACAGAATAAATAACTAAACCATTTTTATTAAATTACCTATTATTGTTATATAGCAAAAAAATTGTACATTATGAAAAGAGAAGAATTTTTTTAATTTGAATTTATTAAAAAGATTTTTTATATTTATCTAGTTATTATTAAAATTAATGTTAGCTATATTATACTTTCATAATTATCATTAAGTATTAAGTTTTCTAGAACAAGTAAAAACATATACATCCATCTAACTACGTGATTGGTCATAATATAAAGTTAAATGTACAAACTTATAGTATAATTTAAGCCAATTTGCATTAGCAAAAAATGAATCCGTTTTTTGTTAATTATTCTTACTTTGTGTTGGAAGTAATTTGAGAATTACGTTCTAAAAAAAAAAGAAAAATATTTATTATTATATACATTTGCATTATAATAATTTGTCTTAGCAAAAAACGAATCCATTTTTTGTTAATTATTCTTACTTGTATTTGAAGTAATTTGAGAATTATATTCTAAAAAAAAAAAAAAAATATTTATTATTATATACATTTGTATTATAATAATTTGCATTAGCAAAAAACGAATCTGTATTTTGTTAATTATTCTTACTTTGTGTTGAAAGTAATTTGAGAATTACTTTCTAAAAAAAAAAGAAAAATATTTATTATTATATATGTTTGCATTATAATAATTTGCCTTAGCAAAAAACGAATCCGTTTTTTGTTAATTCTTCTTACTTAGTATTGGAAGTAATTTGAGAATTACGTTCTAAAAAAAAAAAAAAAATATTTATTATTATATACGTTTATATTATAATAATTTGCATTAGCAAAAAACAAATCCGTTTTTTGTTAATTATTCTTACTTTGTGTTGGAAGTAATTTGAAAATTACGTTCTAAAAAAAAAGAAAAATATTTATTATTATATACATTTGCATTATAATAAGTTGTATTAGCAAAAAACGAATTCAGTTTTTTTGTTAATTATCATTACCTTGTATTGAAAGTGAGAATTATATTCTAAAAAAAAAGAAAAAGATTTATTATTATATACATTAACATTATACGTAATAAGTTGTATTAGCAAAAACCGAATTCAGTTTTTTTGTTAATTATCATTACCTTGTATTGGAAATGAGAATAATATTCTACATAAAAAAAATAATAAGATTTATTATTATATATATTAGCATTATACGTAATAAGTTGCATTAGCAAAAAATGAATTCAGTTTTTTTGTAATATTTATTCATTATCTATTTAGTTCAATAAGCATAGTTTATTAATTACAAGAGTAGAATTATAGTTGTTAGATGAAAGCTTAAGATTTCGCGTTAACAAAATGTAAAACTAACAAAACTCAAAGTGACAAAAGATGAATATATAGATAAATATTGTTGGAACCCATTAAATTACAAAAAATTTTATTATATTAGATGCTTGAATTGTTTAAAAGAGTTAGAAATGAGTATTCTATATTGTATTATACTAGTACACTGAATACTATATATTGGTTCTAGTGAGAAATCACTTTGTGTTTACTTTTTGGTCTTAAAAATTTATTTGTGACAGTATTTAATTCGTTATTCTATAAGTATATAGTTTTTTGGCAAGGTTATTTCAACCATCTATAGCAACTCTAGCATTTCCTAAAAAATTATTTTGCAGCCTTACATGTAATTTCAGATACTGGTCTCTGGATAAATTAATTATGAACAAATCATAACAGATCAGTATTTTATCAGTTGAGTACAAGTATTTAAAAAAACTAGCAAGTTTTTTCTACTCGCTTAACTTTCAAATTTTTATCATATAAATTCTGTGTCTCTGCCCTAGCTATGACTCCAATTAATAGATATTGTACATACAATCCCTAAACTTTCACTCAATTATTTTTATTTTAAATTTTTATTTATTTATTTATCGATTTATTTATTTTTTTAAAAAAATCTTTTAATACAGCTTGCTGTTATACAAAAAACATCACAAAAAGTTATTGCAATGAACAGGCATTTTAGATAAATTTTGAAATCATTGTGAACATCTACAATCTCTAACCCAACCCTCTAATCTAACTCTATCCTCCAATCTAACCTTAACATCCAATTATCGTGATTATAGTTAATATGTTATTCACGACTAACATCAATTATGACTAGCTTCAAAGGGTATTCATTGCAATTCCTAATTTAGACATTACATCTACCAAGAACTAATATCAAAAATCGATGCTAGAATATAAAATACTGCTATTTTGAAGAAGCAAAAAATATTA